GCTTAACACCTCTGTTTTTTTTATTTTCTGGAATATGCTTACCAATTATTATTTATTCCTAGTGTTTGAGAGAGATAACTCCTAACATAGAAAATGGAGAAACTGTTTCTACTAGCCATTTCACCAATAGGCACCCAGAGTAAGAGTACAGTAGATCCTGCCCCTTGCCTCACCTGAGCTTCCACTTCATTTCATCTATCTCTGGGTTTTGCTCGTTATACTTCCTACCCTTTCCTCCTCAAACAAGTTCTAACATTTCCTTTTTCTTTCTCTTCTTGTAGTGGGCTGAATAGTGTCCCCAGAATTTCATGCCCACCAGAATCTCAGAATGTGATCTTATTTAGGAAATAGAGTTTTGCAGACGTAATTAGTTAAGGATCTTGTGATGAAATCATTCTGGATTTAGGCTGGGCACTAAAGCCAATGACAGATGCCCCTATAAGAAAAGGAGAGGGCACAGAAAGACAGAGAAGAAGGCCATGTGAAGATGGAGGTAGGCAGAGATATGTTGCCACAAGCCAAGAAACACCAAAGGCCACCAGAATCTGAAATAAGCAAGGATGGATTCTCCTCTACAGCCTTTAGAGGGAGCATGGGCCTGCCAACACCTTGACTTTTAGACTTCTAGCTTCCAGAATTGGGAGATAATAAATTTATTTCGTTTTAAGCCACAAATATGTGGTAATTTGTTGTGACAGCCCTACAAAGGAGTGCACTTTTAAACACTGTTTATGAGAGAGATATTCCTGGGTTTGCTGATGTTTACAGGTCCATAACCCCTTAGCTGAAAACCTCAGGGTCACAGACGTTGCAGAATGCACAATTTTGGAGGATTTTAAAAATAGAATATATTTAGAATGATACCCCATATCTTACATAAAAACCTGTCGGGAAGCACCCTACAGTCAAACACATTAGTATTTCCATAGCAAAATGTAACAAGAAATAGAAAAAAATAGACTATAAACAGTCTTGCATCAGTTCAGTTTTGATTTTTGCCACCAAATGTGTTTCAGAAAACCTTTCCTTTTTCAGAGCCCTTAGAATTTGGGCAGATGAGGTGGTAGATCTGTCTATATTCTAGCAACAGGCCTTGTAAGACACAGTTCTGTAAAGGTGAAACCGTTAGCACCTCATCGTAGTGGAGTTTGGCCCAAACTCTGCCTGAGCTCTGTAAGTGTGAGCACGTGGACATGGTAAATAGTTAAAAATCCTAAAAGTGCAGTTCTCAAGAGACCAGAGAAAGATGAGTTACATCAGGTATATGGAAGAGTTTGTCTGGATACTAAGGTAGTATTTGACAGAATTAAATAAAGGATGTGAATAAGCAGGATGATAACTTAATGTCAAGTATTTTATTATTTTTTTCCTCATTAATTTTATTCTTAATTTTAAAAGAAAGCCTGCCGCTGGTTTACATGCGAGTTTTATTGGACACATGTTCTCAGCAAAAAGGCTGCAGAGCAGTAGAGCTATGTTTGGTACCATACATGAAATTAGACAAAAACCAAAAAACCAAACCCATCGCCAGCCATCAAGATGATTACGACTCATAGCGACCCTCTAGGACAGAGTCGAACTGCCATAGGGTTTCCAAGGCTGTAAATCTTTATGGAAGCCAACTGCCACATCTTTCTGCTGCAGAGAAGCTGGTGAGTTCAAGCCGCCAATCTTTCCATTAGCAGCCTAGAGTTTAACCACTGCGCCACCAGGGCTCCTCTGAAATTAGGCAAGGGGGTCGAAATGGGCTAAGGAATGGATAGTATCATTTGCCACTGTCTTTTCTTTTAGCACATTGCGAACTTGTGGATATATTTAAAGGTCATCTTTATGTTGGATAAAATCAAACACAGATCCGATTGATTTTACATAATAGGCTATTTCAAAGTAATGAATTAGCTGAACTAATGCTTTCTCACAAAATAAACAATTCCAAAAGAAAATAGATCTTTATTCTCATGCCCTCCTCCTCCCTTCTCAATTAATTAGACTTTGTTGGTGAAAGGAAGAAATTCAGCATAAGCCTGATTATATCATGAATGTAAAATGAGCAGGGCAAATAATGGGTTCTATGCTCTTTCAAACAAGTTAAATAAGTCCATAATAGCCCACCATTGTGTAAACACTATTTCACTATACTTGTAAAAGAAATATTGACTTACCTGTCAACTAAAATTATTCTGGCATGCTTCAACTAAGCTTATTAGTAATTCTTGTGGTGTACATGAATGTTTTTAGTTGTGGAGTTTTATCAAAGATTAAAGAATTAGGAAAACATCCGCTTAGCAAGCCCAGAAAGTATGCACGTACCAGACTGCACTTTACCAGAATCAGTTTTAGAAACTTGCGATCTAACAGTTTAAGAAGTAGAGAATGGTTTCCAGCCTGGCATGAGATACTCCCATACACAGCAGCTTATTAACACGGAGAAACCTTCCACAATCATAAATAAAAACATCTCGTCCAAACAAAATAGTAAATGAATCTAACTTTAGCCTACTAACCTTACTATCACGTGTAAGGATACTGCTGTTTTTCTCTGACATCTCACCAGTATGTATTACTGGATGTTGAGAGAAACCAGAAAATATGTATATTTTTTCCACTTTTCACATAAAAAAAAAGTCTTCCTCTGCTCCAACTGGTTCTACTGCTGTCCAAAAAGATTCCACTTTTCTTTACAAAAATATTTTAATTTCTTCCTCAATAAACTGCCAATTTGTCATACTGTGGTGGCTTGCATGTTACTATAATGCTGGAAGCTATGCCACCTGTATTTCAAATACCAGCAGGGTCATCCATTGTAGACAGATTTCAGTGGCACTTCTAGACTAAAACAAAGAAGAAAGGCCTGGCAATCTACTTCTGAAAATTAGCCAATGAAAACTTTATGGATCACAACAGAATATTGTCTGATATAGGGCTGGAAAATGAGCCCACTAGGTTGGAAGGCACCCAAAGTACACAGTGGCCACAACAATGGTAGCACAGAACCTGACAACTTTTTGTTCTGTTGTACGTTTTGTTCTGTTGAGCAAATAATCTGAGAAGCTGGACTATAGGAAGAAGAACTTGGCATCAGGATTGGAGAAAGACTCATTAACAACCTGCGTTATGCAGGTGACACAACCTTATTTGTGAAAGAGAAGAGGACTTGAAAAACTTACTGATACAGATCAAAGACCACAGCCTTCAGTACGGATTATACCTCAACATAAAGAAAACAAAAATCCTCACAACTGGACCAATAAGCAACATCATGATAAACAGAAAAATATTGAAGTTGTCAAGGATTTCATTTTACTTGGATCCACAATCAACACCCACGGAAGCAGCAGTCAAGAAATCAAAAGATGCATTGCACTGGGCAAATCTGCTGCAAGGGAGCTCTTAAAAGTGTCAGAAAAGCAAACATGGCACTTGGAGCTAAGGCCCAAGCCACGGTATTTTCAATTGCCTCGTATGCATGAGAAAGCTCGACAATGAATAAGGAAGACCAAAGAACTGATGCTTTTGAGTTTTGTGTTGGGGAAGAATACTGAACATACCATGGAATTCCGGAAGAATGAACAGATCAGTCTTGGAAGAAGCACAGCTAGAATGCTCCTTAGAAGCGAGGATGGTGAGACTTCACCTCAGGTACTTTGGACATATTATCAGGAGGGACCAGTCCCTGGAGAAGGATATCATGCTTGGTAAAGCAGTGGGTCTACGAAAAAGAGGAAGACCCTCAACGAAAAGGACTCACACACTGGCTGCAACAATGAGCTCAGATATAGCAACGACTGTGAGGATGGCGAAGTATCCGGCAGTGTTTCCTTCTGTTGCACACAGGGTCTGCTATGAATCAGAACTGACTCTACTGGCATCTAGCAACAACAAGCATTTTCATCTGGCGCTCCTCAGCGGTCCCCAGAGCCTATGCCTCACACCTGGGAGGGACTGCGCTTATTTCTGAGAACTCTGGAAGGGACACATAGGCCAAAAAAAAAAGCCCCAGGACAAAAGTAAAAAGCTGTCTATCCGGCATCTCTCTACTAAAGGTGATTTCTATGGGATCCCAAAACACTTTCAAAAAAGAATTAGTTATTTAGACTTCCCCATCCCGGATGAGTTAAGAAGGCGGCATAGGAGAGCTCCCTCAGGAGCTGTATTTATTTAGCGATTAGCCCAGCACTTTGATTTCAGGGCAAAAGCGAGCCAGACAGTGAGGCATGAGGTAAGGATCAAAAAGGCCACCCATCGTTTGCCGGAGGACGCCCGCCTCCCTACTCTGATAATGTAACCATTTTTCTGGACTAGATTTTAGTTTTTGTTTGTTTTTAGCACTCGATGTATTCCATCCATTAGTTGCAGCGGGCTTGGAGAAGGCTTGCAGCCTTCTTCGGTTCCTGCACATGTGTGTCCCTCTGAAGCGGGTCCCTCCCGGCTACCAGCTCTAAGTCACCAGGACCCCAGAAGGGGATGAGTTACCCCTGCCCCGCGCGCGACGCTGAGGGCTGGAATCTGCCCACGGAGGCGCAGCCCTAGGACTCGCCAGCCCCTCGCGCCGCCTGCGGCCTGCCTGCCCTGGACTTTGGGAAAGGAGGGAGGGAACGGGAGGGGGGAAAGTGGGGCCGAGCTGGGGGTGCCTGGGAAGCTGGGCTGCGCTGACGTCACTGGGCGCGCAATTCAGGCTGGAGCGCTTTAAAAAAACAAGCGTGCTAGCTGAGATGCTGTTCCAGACAGCGCAGGCCGCCTGCAACAGTAACTCGCACCGCCACTGCCGCGACTGCAGGAAGGGCTGGTCCAGAGGCCTGCGCAGCGGCGGCCGGCACCGCCGGGACTTGCGGTCCTTCTCCTCCGCGCCCACACCGGGGGACAGGAACGCAGCGCCCCGCGCTGTAAGCTCCAGCTGAGCTGCAAAAGCCTGCGGAGCGGCGCCAGGCGTGCCACGGTCTGCAGCAGCCCGCGCTCTGCCCTCCGCCCGCGTCCGGCTCGCGCGCCCCTGCCCGGGCACCATGGACACCTCCCGCGTCTGCGTGCTCCTGTCTTTGCCCATTCTGCTGCAGCTGGTGGCCGGGGGCGGCTCGCTGAGGCCAGGCGGGCCGCTGCGAGGGTGCCCGGCGCACTGTCAGTGCGAGCCCGACGGCAGGATGCTGCTCAGGGTGGACTGCTCCGACCTGGGGCTCTCCGAGCTGCCCTCCAACCTCAGCGTCTTCACCTCCTACCTGTAAGTGCGCTCCCACTCCACTCCTGAAGGGAGGCTGAGAAAGGAAGGGGAAGCTGGCCGAAGACAAGGCAGGGGCTCCTCGGCGCCCTCCAGCTCTGGAGGGGGCGGGCGAGTTTGCAAAGGGCATCTTGGCCAGACCTGCGTGGGCCGCAGGGAAATGCACGTGTCTCTGAGGAGAGCGCGTCCGCACTTTACGGGCAAAGCATAGAAGCAGCTTCAAGTGCAACACACCCCCGCCCCCCACCCCCAAGCGCTGTTGCGGGGCGACTTCCCCGCCCAGCCCTAGGCACGCTGCAGGGTAAATTCTTCCTCGTTGTAGATATTTGGGTGCAGACTCTGCACTGTCTGCAGAGTGGGCATTCGTGCCCCTGGAACTTGGAACTCAAGGTCTGGGCGCCCGGCCGGTCCTCAGCTCAACCTCTCCTCGGCATCCAACCCGGATCCAGGAGAAGACGTGCTGTCAAGAGTTTGCCCAAAGCAGAACCCCAACTTGCCCAACTCAAAAGGGATTTAACTCTGCATCCCGTCCACTGCTGAGTGATGTAACCTTTTTCTCTTCTTTTTCTTCCTTCCTTCCTACCTTCCTCCCTCCCTCCCTCCCTTCCTCTCTTCCTTTTTTTCTTTCTTTTAACGAAGTGATTAAAATGTGGCAACCACAAACCCCTGTTAGAACTGCCAGAACGTTATCTTTACCTTTGGCTGCCCGAGCCGCCCTTTGAAGTGCCCGCGGCCGCGGTGTAATCTTTAACCATCTCCTCCTCCCGGGGAGGAAAAGGGAAGTGGGTTGACGGCGGCGGGGCGGGTAAACAGCGGCGCAGACATCCAAGGGGCAACCTGAAGCTTACTGTCTTCCCTCAGTGACCCCGCATTCCCACCCCTTCTCCCCCTACCCTCACCGCAACTTCCAAAACTCTAACCGCGGAGATGAGGCAGCGGCTCGTTTCATAATTTGGTTTCTGGAAAACCCAGGCCCGGAGGGTAACAGGTGGTTGGGCAGATGAGGCGGCCGGGGAGGAACTGGCTTCTCAGGGACTAAAATGACTACCCCTCTTGGAGAATCTGGGGCTCGTTTCCTTCGGGACGAGAGACCGGGATCGGTGACACCGTGGGAAACTGGCGCTCACGACCACAGGGTGACACGTTTGCATTTTAATTCGAGGCGCTGCAGTGAGCCCACCCCAAACCGATGCAATCCCAGTTTCGGCTTCTCTGATTTACCTTGGCAGGAACGAGTCGGGATGTTTATGAACTCGTTCGTTCTTTCCTCTGCTGAGTTGTTTTCTAGAGGGAAGAAATATGAAGAGGCTTGCGCAACGTTTTGCACTAGGTAGTGATTCTTTTTCTAGAGGAGGAGGGAAAATTTTTTTTTTTTTTTTTTTTTTACTTTCTCTAAATTGCTGTTAAAGAGAGGGAGCATCCTGTTGCATTTGAGTTAGTATTATTTTGACTGGTTTTTCTTTACCTTGAAAGAGTTATAAAATTACCAGTTTTCCCCACAAAGTTTCTCTACAGTCGGGCGCATTGCATGTGGTAGTGATATTTTTACAGTGATGAAAATCTGCTCTCCTAAATGATCATTCTCACAGAATTCACATTTCCTCCTCCTGAACAGCTGTCTTTGCTATAAAGTGAAACTCATCCCCAACCTTTCTGACTGAACTGCTAAAATCAGTGTTTCAAGGATCAAGTATTCTAGACAGTAATTTCTTAGACCAGTTTGGCAATTTCACTTAAGAGCATACAACTATTCTTTCCCATCACTGTGAAGAAATTTGATTATGTCCAAGGGAGAGGTGTAGTCCTCCAAACACCTACCTACAATTTAAATCATCCACTTCAGTTATTAAACATGTTTAAGAATACAGCAAATACGTTTATGAATAGTGTCAGGATATTTTGTTTTTTTGTTCTTCCTGCTACTTCAAAGTGAAAGCATTTGTTTAGGCTTCTGTTACTAAAAGTTGGCATGAAATGCTGCTTTACACCATTTCCCACATACCTCAAATGCATTTGACTGTGTGCTCCATGTGCTCAGGACATCTTAACCACCACGTTCCCTGTTTCTTGTATCTAATACGACAGATAACCTCTTAGAGGTAAGGTACCATTAATAAGTTGTCATGTATTTCTTCTGCTATTTGATGACAGCCTGTACCCTGGTCTAAGGGGAAATTTCCCAGTGCCCTATAAAATATTCAATCCAGAGTGTCTGTGAAGTGACACAGTGAATACTGAAGAACTTGCTTCTAAAGGTTAATGGTTGATGTTTCAGGGAATATGAGTGCTGTATGTAGAAGCCAGTCCTGAGGAAAATAACTAGCCTGGTGCTCTTCCTAATGTGTACTTTCAGAACTTGGTCTCCTTGTAGAGTATAAAATGCTAGGGGCCTTGGAATGCCTTTTCTTTGTTGGTTAAGATTGTGTGTTTTTTGGTTTTGTTGTTTGTCTTTTTTTCTTTACAGTCATGGGAACAGACTTTAAGGGTCAATGATGCCCTCTTTTGGTTACACCTAGTATTATCCGCCCCTTTCTGCCTTCACTTGTACAATCATAACTCAAAAGAGAAATTGGGTTTACTCATACTCAGATGAGCCTGTGCTGTACTGCTCTTTTTCTTTTAATAAATAACTTCCCTTTGCTTTTAAAATGGAACACTAATTTACACTCCGCTGGTGCCCAGTGTCACCTTTGATGTGAAAGTTCAAGTATGCAAAGACTGATGTGGGTGAAGGGCCAGGACTTCTATCTTTTATTATTTGTGGTAGGTTATCACCACTTATTTAAGTCAAAGTGTTATCTCCTAATCTTCCTCCCCTCAAAAAAGAACAAGATTTCATTTTCTTCAAACAGATTGACCATGGCAAGTTCCAGCTGTACATATCTGGCAAATGGATTTCCTGTTATCTGATAGCTGGCTAGTCAGACTTGTAGGTAAAGAAAGTTTCCTAGATCACTTCATAGAAGGCAAGAGCTATTTATGTGCAGTTTTATGATCTTTCTTCCCCAGAAAAGCTAAATCTCAAGCCAGTCCAAACATTAATATTAACTCTCTTTTCTTGCTGAACTGCATTCCCCAATAGATCTATGATTGGACCATTGAACATGGGTGGCAGAAACACTGGAGAAATCTCTCTCTCTCTCTCCATCTTCTAGTGGTTATAAACTCAGGTTTTACTAACAGGGGCTAATAAAATTCACTCAGTAGAAAATCGGGAGCAAGCCAAGATTGATATATAAAAGCAGACAATAATTGGTTACAACATTTGATACATTTCAATCTATCAGTAGTGATCTTTCAGAAATAATGTAGTTCTAGCGTCTAATCTTATTATAGGTAAGCTATTCTAATTCGTGAAACATGGACATGCTAACAGGCTTAAAAGTAACTTAGATGTGTCTTTCATGTAGATAGTGTGTCATCCAGGTTGAAAACTAAACCCTAATGAACATGCTAAATAGTAAATACACTTTTCTTTATTGACCCAGAACAACTATTTTATTTTAAATGAAAACTGTGTTTTTCCCTGCTGTCGCTTAGAGACGTAGACATCTTACTCTCAGGCAAACTTCCGTTGTATGAACTGAGGGAACTGGGAAAAAGGTTTTTTCTGTGTGTTTTTTTTTTTTTTAATGTAGTTCGATTACTTTTCCATTTATAACTTTGTACAAATACTGTTACTCAAAATTAATAAAACTGATGGTAATAAGAAATAATCAAAAACCTCAATTAGTTAAATTTAGTATGGCCCTGGTATTATACAAGTTCAAGATTAAAGAACATTTTTAGAATCTTTTCTGGATATGATTTGATATATTTCTGCTTCCTGCCAAGCAAAGAAAAGTATTTTAAGTAAAAGAAAATGATTCTACTTTCGGGATGTTTACAAAAGTCTTAACTATTATAATAGTCTTAACATTTAGATCAGCTGCAAAATTTATACAATTTTTTCTACAACCTACTTTTAAACCTTGTTTAAAATATAATGATGCCGGTGACTTTCCTGGATTTTAATGAAATAACTTTATTTTCGTCGAGGTTTTTTTCAGTAGTGTTTTTGTTATGGGGACAATTATTGAGACCAATTGACTAAATTAGCCTGAATGATTTTTTTTAATAATTTTTTTTAAATCAAAAAGTAGTAAGTTCTGATTCAAACAGTCATTTGACATAAATTTATAATAAATACGAAAATAGATACTTCATACAAATATACTTTACTGAATATGTTTAACATGTGCTGGAAGAGCTTTGTGATGAGGATGAATTTTTACATATAATAAACATGGTCTTCTTCAACCAGCTTTTTCTTTCCTTGTACATTTTCTTCAAAGTAAAGGAGTTCTGGTGAAGCAACAAAGGGTAGCAATCGCAAGTGAGTTAGGAGAAATAATCTTTGTAATTAAATAAAATATATTGATACTGGGACCATGCACATTTAGATATATTTAAAGAAGTTCAGAAACACAGAAAGAGGTCTATGACTTCTCATAGATAAATTATGTATTTGAAATATTTCATTGTTTTTAATTTCCAAAACATATAACTGTCAAGAAATAATATCTGAGTAAGCAATTAATCCAATAAAGCTATCATAACATTAAAGAAATTATAGGATATTTACAGTTTTATAACTAATACCTAATTTCTACTTACCTTAGTAAAACATTTTTTAATATTTCTTCTATCAAATAGTACATTTAAGTTATTTTAGCTATAAACTTAAGAATATTTCCAATTAATCCAAATCATATGTGATCAGTAGAAATGAAAAGCAATAATAGTAAATTCTGCCTTGAACAACTTTGTGGAGTAAATTGTTTTGGTTTTGTTCAGTTATTTATATAAATTCAGAGTAATGCTAAATGGCACATTACCTTATAAACATCCTTCAAGTAGGTACTATGTTAAACTGAACTCTTCATGAGAAGGCAAATTCTTCCCTATAAAATGATTCAACATCCTCATTCCAGTTGCAATGTTTTCATTCCAAGAGGCTCATT